TTATTGAAATTGATGCGTATAATTATGAAGATAACTTATTTATATATTTAATTTACTACCTACTAACGCATAAGAATGCAAGTAAAAAAGTAATTTTGTAAGAATACTCTATCATGTGCTCGATCTGGTGTTCAATTAAGGCACATTATCATTTTTTGAGTGTCTAAATAAAATTTGCAGATAAGTCTAAAAGGGTGTGTATTGAGCCAATAAAAAATTGTTTTGATCAAGTTATACTGATACAATGACAAATATTAGGGAATTTTAATAACTTAATCAATTGAGTATCTAAACTTTCATTTTGCTGGTGATATTTCGATTCCTCACCTCATAATCTCTCGTTCTTATTTTTCCTTTTCTAACCCCCCAATCTTTTTTAAATATCCTTTCTTAAAAGTCAGGATCAATGTCACGTGCTTCCTACGTAGCACACCTAAAATACAGTACAACAAGACACACGTGTACCCGCACGTGCATCCCTAGTCAAAATGACTTCGTTCATGCTAGATCCGTTCAACGGTCAACGCAAAATATTCTTATAGTATTATTCTAATATGAAATTACATAAGTAATATTTCCCAACAAATTAGAAAAGAGCTACATTAAAAATTGAAATCGCAAGAGCAACATTTTCTCCGTTCACTTCTAATAATTAAGAGATTCTTTTAAAAATTTAATAGTTCAATTGATTAGATATTTTAACTTTTAGTACTACATTAACGAAAGTTTGATTTTCATCTTGTAATTCTCTCTTTTCCTGGCTTCTTTTCATTAAAAAAAGAAAGAAAAGAAAGTTAAAGAGATTTTATAATAATTTTAGCTTTAAGACAAAACTTATCTATGTATTTATACATGACAAAGTTCTCAATTTTCACGAAAATTTTAAAAATAAATATATATGTATATTATTTATAATTATTCATCCAAAAATATTTTAATAAACCCCTTATACCGACCCGATATTAGAAGATTCCCACACGTGCAATGGTGCATGTGCAACAGTTGCCAAGAAAAAGTGTTAGTGGACTGTATCATGGGCCAGCTTTGCATGGATATTCGTGTTACTAGTGGGCCTTACATATCTGGCCAATGTGATTAGCTTAGCTGGTAAACATGTGATTAGCTCGTTAATCGGATTTGCTTGAATCGATAGACTTATGGAGATCGAACAGAAACTTCATAATCTTGTTAATAATAATATACTGATTCCTTAATTAATCATTTTCCCCAACTAGAGGATTGCACGTGTGATTCAAAGGAAGAATATTTGTGAAATATGCATTTATGTCGTGACCTTGTTAAATTACCAATTTGTCCTCACTAATAGTGATAATTCATATTTCGTTTCTTAAAAAGAGCAGCTAAATAATTAGACCAGACATAATTACTTAACATAGTATTGAAATGCAAATTGGAGATGTATCGACTTATATTCGCACACCAAATATGAATTTTATTACTGATGGATAAATGTCTTTGAGCTTCATCTCATTTTCATGTTAAATTTTTAGATTTAGAAATATGAATATCGCCACTCATAAGTAATTTATAAAATCGAAGGATAAAGTTTGATTGGCTATAGATTGATATGAGACTTGCATGATAGCTAAATGTTGCAAACTATATATGGCAATATCAAAATTACATTTTCAATTCAATTCAATACACCAAATCTCTTGCTGAAAAATTGTATTTTATATATATATATATATATATATATATATAAGCATGAACTCCTAACTTG